GAGGCCCAAAGGCAAAAGGAGAGGAAAGAGAGGAGCCCCAGTGCAGAAAGGCACACAGACATCCTTGGCTGCACCCTGCTGGCTGGCACCATGCCTGGCTCTGTACCTCTGAGTTCCTGGGGAAGAGCAGCCTGGGCAGGGGCTCATGGCTTTCCACCAGCTGGGGAGGAGGCAGATGGAAAAATAAATGCCTGAGCCTTTGCCTGTTTTAATCAATTCCCCACCCTAGCAGGGCTCTGAGCTGCCCCCAGACTACTCCCTGGGTCATAGCTGCTAATTTCTGCACTACTGACGTGGAGCAGGGAGCGGGGATCCTAAGCAGGTAAGCTTCCCTAGGGAGCAAGACCTGGAGGAGTTAAGAGTCCAGGCTCCGGGGTCAGTGAAGCACTGGCTCATTCCACACCGAGAGCCCCTATGAACCCAGGACTATGCTTGGAGAGGGAGAGACAGTGGGAGTAGCCTTTGCCCAAGTGTTAATGCTGGCAACAAACTAATAGCCCCAGCCCCAAACCTGGCTCTGTCACCTGGGTGGCCTCAGTTTGTTCATCTGCAAAATGGATGATAGAAGCCTCTATTCTTAGGCTTTCAGAAGACAAAGAATACCAGGTGGACAGTACTGGGCTCTTAAAAATGTTAATTGCCATATTATTATTATTCTGTTGATATTGTGACCAGGATTAGGGAGGAACAGGGAACCCTGTCTAAATCCTCAATGAATCTCCTTTGTCCATGAGCAAAATATCCTGAAGGCCAGTGATTGGAGAGGGCCTAGGTTGGCATCTAGAATTCTGGAGAAAAGGGATAGAGTAGGATTGACTCTTAAGTGTTTCACTCAAAAGACAGCAAGTTTGGGGCTGGGGTAAACACAGAAAGTTCCATTTTCCAAAGAGAACTGTTAATGCCACCACAGGTATTAAGATTTTGATGACTTGTCCCTTTTCCCTGGTTCCCTGTTTGTTCTTTGCTAAAAAAAAAAATAATTGCTAAGGGTTAGGAAGTAAGGGGGTTGAATGGCACAGTTAGGGGCTGGGCTGGAACCTCATTTGCTTCTCAGCAGCTCAGGCCCAAGTGGGCTGAGCACAGGCTCCCCGAGTGCCCAGGATGCAAGATTCGGCTAAGGACCACAAAAATGTTTTCATCTCTTTCAAATTAGAAGAAAAAAGGAATGTTTAGGTTGAAGAAATGATTTACAAAACTGGGCCTCCCCGGTGGCGCAGCGGTTGAGCGCTGGGTTGCGAAGCTGCGCGCGGCCTCTGCGGCGCCGGTTCGATCCCCGGCTGCTCCCCGGCCACCAGAGGAGGGTCCCACATGGCGCGCAGACCTCTCCTGCCGCCCGCTGCTCCCCTCAGCAGTGTACTTCGGTCCTTCTGCCTGCTCTGCTCCCCGCTCTGGCTCTGGTGAATTCTCTCACCCTCCCGCGCTTCTGACTGTACCCAGTGCATGTATAAACAAAACAAACAAAGAAACCAGCAAAACAAATAAATAAAGCATGCCTCTATAAAAAAAAAAAAAAAAAAAGAAATGATTTACAAAACTAATGTGGCCATAAATATAATTTTCAATATCTTTTTTTGTTTTTTAAAGATTTATTTATTTTTATACAAGAGCTGGGGTACAGGCCAGAGGTATGGGAGGGTGAGAGGATTCACCAGAGACAGAGTGGGGAGCAGAATAGGCAGACAACAGAAATACACTGCTGAGGGGAGCAGCGGGCGTGACAGGAAAGGTCTGCTGCACCATGTGGGTATCTCACCAGCTGGCCAGGATCAAATTCGCACTGCAGAGGCTATGGACAGCTTCACAGCACTGCGTTCAACCCACTGCGCCACTGGGGAGGCCCTAATTTTCAATATCTTTTATGAAGGAGGGGGCCCATGAAGGCAAAATTGCCAGGGTCCAGGGTCAGAATGTGTCCCTCTTTATTCTGTGATGACCAGCAAGTGGCTCATGTCTCTGAGCCTCGGGAGGGAAGTACAGACCCCCCCTACCCACTTCCTGGGAGGCAGTGGGTGCCTGAGGGACCGAGTCTTAGCACCATATGGGTGCTCCTAAGCTCACAACAAACAGGAGTTCACCATTTATTTCTCTCTGTGGTCTAAGGCCTTAGGAAGCATGGAGAAGGTTATGGGATTGGGCACAGCATTGGGAGAACAAGTCACAAAATTACTTTCATATTACACCACAGACTGAAGAGCTAACCCCAGGTGGAGAACAGATGGAGGCTTCCAAGCAAGGCTATTCTAAGCTGGGGACCTGCAAGAAACCAGACAGAGAGTAGCAAAAAGAATTGTCTCTGGGCCTCCCTGGTGGTGCAGGGGTTAAAGTCTCAGCATTATCAAGCTACCACCAACTACTGCAGCATGAGTTTGATCCCTGGCCAGGGAGCTGACACACATGGCGCAGCAGACCTCTCCTGTCTCACCTGCTGCTCCCCTCAGCAGTGTATTTCAGTAGATCCGCCTGCTCTGCTCCCCATTCTGTCTCTGGTGAACCCTCTCACCACTCCCTCCCCCCCCTACCTCTGGCCTATACCCCAGTTCTTGTATGCATAAATAAATATTTATAATAATAATAAAAAAAGGAGTTGTCTCTGAACTCTCAGTGTCCCAGTGTAGGCCCCTAAGGTGGGTGCTAGTTATGTGGAGGCTGAATGAAGGAATGAATGGATGAACAAGTGATTAGTGGATGTGAAGGACTTTGAAAATCCTAAGGTTGTTTGCCCTAAAGATTGACTCAACAGGTCTCCCCAAGCACAAGTTTCTCTAAAGGGAAAAGAAAGCCAGTATTTATTAAATGATTGGTATGGATGGCCTCCTCTCTAATAAATCAGGAAACTGAGGCTCACAGAGGGGATGTGGCTTGAACAAGATCCCACAGTTTGAATATGGAAGCCCAAGTCCCTGCTCTTTGCCCTGTGCCCCCTGCTGGAACTTTTGCCCGAGGCTGTCGTGGAGCTGGCACGCAGGCCCTCAATGCCAGTGCTTCCAACACTGCCCGCTGCCCTTCCTCGAGGGCCCTAGCAGGTACCCTTGTATCTGGCAGCCCCACCGAGGGCCCCAAAGCTTGGGAGTGTCAGCCAGGGCAGGAGGCCTCTCAAATAGGCCAAGACGCTGGACGAAGAATGGGCCTCTGTCTGAGAAACGGGCTCTCCCTCTTTTTCTTCCTCAGGTTAAACTGCAGCCACTACCCTCGGGGAGTTTCAAACCACATGAGAGGTTCCAGCCTCGCTGCCTCACTGCTCCCACTCTCTCAGCTTTACCTACACCCAGGCCCTGCTAAGGGATCCCCAGTTGGCCAGTCCTTGCCTTGGCTCAGTCTCCTTTTTGCCTACTCCCTCTGCCTACCTGGGAACTGTCTCTCCATAAGGAATTTGGGGAAAGCAGGGAGACCCTTCCTGCCAGATCCCCAAGCAAAGAGCGGGATGCCAGAGGCGGAGATACCAAGGACCAGGGGGCAAATGGATGGAGACAGTGATGGGGCAGCGAGCGAGGGCTTGGAGGTTGTCCAGGAGAAACAAACAGGCCGCTGTTTCTAGGCTGCCTTCAGAGGCAGCTTCAAAGTGTGCAGTGTAACGCTTCTGAGCTGGAGTACTCAGCCTAGTTTACAGAGCTTCCTATTTCAGATTATTCTTCTATCTCAAACATAGATCTTTAAATAATAAAGTGAACATATATATATTTAGGGCCTTTATTTTCACATAGGTGAGGTGGTTTTTTTAATTGAAATGATGTATCGGGTGACTTAGAATCCACATTACCTTTCTTTCGTTGACCCTCTATGTCATTTTATGGGAAGATTGGTTAACAAAGGGGAACACTGCCACACTCACAGCCCACAGGGGCCTTCACCACCCACCACAGTGGCACAAGAGCCCATGGGGTAAGGGATGGGGTCTCCCCCACTCTACAAGACTGAGATGCCTCACCGACTCTGGAGCTGGGTTTCCTTGCCTTTCAATGAAAGGTGATCTGTTACCCTCAAGGACCCGTCCACCAGGACCCTGTGTCTTGGGAACAATGGGGTAGCAACCAGCACCAACACTGATTCCTACTTCTTGGCGTCCTATTGCTCTAAGGGGACGTCCCAAAGATGTACATCCCTCCAAAGTGTCTGGAGGATTGATTCATCAAGGCAAATAGAAAATAAACAAATGATTATGAGCAATTATGGAAAATACTACAAGGATAAGCTTTGAACTTGGCTTTTGAGGGATACAGTGCCTCCCTGTTGATGTGTTCCTCCAAATCTCTCACTCCTACCTCAGACCTATGCATCTTACATATTCCTGGTCACCCCAGGGGCATGGAGACCCATTAGGCTGCGGCTGCCTGCCCAAGGTCAGAAAAGCAAAAGGCCCTGCCTTCAAGCAGCCGGCTCCATCTCAAGCACCCAGGCCCCTCCTGGCCCGCGGCAGGAGTGGCCACAGTCCCCCACGGTGACACCATGGATATGAAGCCCGTTCAGCGATGTCCACAGCACATTCCTCCGGCCCAGCCCCCTTTGAGGCTGGCTTGCCTCACATACTGACGGCAGCGGGCCCTCCGGGCACTCCCCACGGTCAGCACGAATACCGGCAGGGACAAGTCAAGGAACGTCCACCTCCACAAAGGGGTCCCGGTTACATTTCCCTTTTCATCTTCCCTTCTCATCTGGCACCTCAGGCCTTTGCCATCACTTGGCCCCCCTTCCTCCCCACCCCTTGCCCCTGCAACTTTGGGATGCACCCTTAGAGCAGGTGAAAAATGTGTCTCACTACCCAGAGTTCCAGTTCCTTCATTTACTCCCACATGGCTGCTGGGGTACAGGACTTCAGGGGGTCATACAACCTTCCCCACCTTCCCGCTCTGGCTAGGTTTATCATTGGATCCCACCCACCCCACCAGAAGAGGTACCCCTAATCTGTCACTCTGGGTTGCACCCACCTAGACCACTGTATCCCACCTCCGTACCCCTCTGCTGGTCTGACCATCCCTAAATTCATCTATTTATTGACTCCTTACCAGGTGCCAAGGGGCGCACTCCATATGCATTCATTGTCCATTTATTCCCCACATAGCGAGGCCTACTGCCTGCGGGCACCATGCTGGTGCTGGGAAGAAAGGTTAACTGAACAGACACGGTCCCTGCTTACTTCACGTGGACCTTGGACTAAGCGCTGTGGGCTGTCTGCCTTGACCTGTCAGAGAAATTGCTTCATTTCAAGAGCACATCAAACGGAACCAGGAAAGATCCTGCCCAAGGTTAAGTGGGCTGCCTGACTGAGGAGCAAGGCAGGGGTTGCAGCGCCCAGGTTGACTGACTGCAAAGCAGAGTTCTTAAGCACTGCACTTTCTTCATAGCCCCACGCATCCCGCCTCCTCCAAGACACCCTCTGGGATCCCCTCCCAGACTAGCGGGCTTCCTTGGTCCCTCTAAGCCACAGCCAGGATCTGACACACTCCTGCCCTCCCTCAAGGTCCCCCCAGCTGCAGGCCTGGGGAGGGTTTCGCCTGCGTCTTCTGGAGCAACTGGTCCAGTGAGTCACCAAGGCACAGCTCCAAAGATGTCTACTGAACCAGAACCCTAGGGGTCCTCCCTGAGGGAGGGTTTTCATTTCATCAAATGGCAGACCTTTCCCCAGGGGGGCCTCGGCACAGGATCCACCCATCCAGAAACCCATTTTCCGGATGGTGCAAACACAAGTCCCAATGGTTCAAAGTCCCTTCCGTCTCCTGGCTGGGCCTGCCAGCTCCCTCTTTTCCGGGAGTCTCTGACCCTGAGCTGGAGGCTCGGGTGGGGGTGGGACAAGGAAACCACCAGCCTTCTGGATGCCCTCAAAGGGCAGGCTGGTTCTGAGCGAGCTTCTCGGTACCCGCGGGAGTTTAGTTTGCGCTGGGAGCACCTTGACGGCGTGTCCCCCACCCCATCTCCAAACCCTGCCGCACACACTCGGCTTCCCTCCCTCCACCCGAGACCCTCGCCCACCGCCCCAGAAACTTCCTCCAAGGAGGCGGGGGCACCACCGGGAATCCCACAGGCCCAGCCTCAGGCTCGCGGCAGGTGGGCTTCGCGCGGTGGCTCCTGAGCCCGCCCCCGGGGTGCCCAGCAGGCCGGCGTCCCTGGCATCCTGAGCCGCTTACCTGCTGGGGTGAGTCCGTCGCGCCGGTGCCTCCCGCTCGGCCTCCCGCCGGCGCCACCGCGGCCGCCCGAGCTCTCCCCGCCCGGGGAGCCCGCCCTCCGCCTCGCCCCGCCCCGCGCAGGTGATCCGGCTGGGGGCGAATTTGTCCCCTCGCGCCCCAGCGCCTTGGGGGCCACCCCGGGGGCGCCAGGGTCGGGTCACTGGAGTGAGGCGCCTCCCCGTGGTGTCCTCGCGCCTCTCCCCGTTCTGGTGCTTTGTGGGATTCCAGCCCTGACATTCCGGGGCGCACAGTGGACCAGAGGCTATCCTGGGGCGCACAGTGGACCAGACCACATCTTCCCGGGCAGACTTCTCAGAGAGCAAAACTGCAAAGTGGCCTTGCAAATACTCCGGGCTGCGCCCCCCGGGGATCTGTGTGGGTGTCTTTAAAGTGGGATCCTGCTAATCCCACTGAAAGATTTGGGGCAGGTTGGGGTTTACACACTCTCGGAGTGTTACTTAAGGCCTCACAGCTGGCGAGGATGGAGTCAAGGGCCCCCTCCTCGTGGGGTGGGCTGGGCGCTCTCTCCCTGATCTTTACCTCAACTGATATTTACAGGGAGCGGGAAGAGATTTTTAGAGGGGAAATCCAGCCTCTCCTTTTACAAAAAGGACCCTGGAAAGTCATAGGAGGGTTTCCAGAATGGCATTGGCCTGCTCTGACCCGTGTTTTTAAAAACCACTCTGGCTGAGAAGACAGATCAAGGGCCCTGGATAGGAGAGCAGTGTAGGGGCGGTGGCAGTGGAGAGAGTGGTCAGGTGTGGGGTATATTCTGGAGGCGGGGCAGGTAGGAATTGCTAATGGTGGGGGGGAGGGTTCAAAAAAGGCCAAGCCCTGACTGATCACTGTAGGATCCGTTCAACAGAAGCAGAGGCTTCCTCTCCAGAATCACGGCCTGGCATTTTGGTTGAAACTGAATGCAACTCAGAGACCTCCAGTCTCCCCTGCAATTTGCACCCACAGAGGGGAGGAAACATGATTGGGTCACAGGTAAAGGCAGAGGCCCCTGGTCCCCAGTCCAGAACCAGCCCTTCCCAACCGTGTTGATTTATTCTCAGGCAAACCAGGAATAGATCATGTAAGGTGCTGCAACAGGCAACAGGGAGCAAGCTTATCAACCGATATTCCACATGTGAAATCTAGAAATGACCACATTTCCAAGTGATGGAGAAGAATCAAGCCAATTGCACTTCAGAACAGAGGCACCAGAAATACAAAAACTCGAAAGTTTCTAAGTTGTAGAGATAGGTGCATATAATTCTGTGATTTATAATAAAAAATATATCTTTTGATCCATGGTTCCCCCAGACCTTGCTATTTCCTAAATGATTAATTAGATGAGCAGCTTCTTTGCTTCAATACTTGAGTTTTGTCCTCAATTCCTGAAATGGCTTCAGAGTTACTATTCATAACAACCCCCTTTCAATCATACCTGAATTTATGTTAATGAGGTGATTTTTGGAATCACCTGAATTTATGTTAATAAGGTGATTTTTGGAAAGCCCCTAGGAGACCAAAGAATGGGGGCTGGCTGCCAGACCGACCAAGTAATGAGAAAGTTGGAATTTTCAGTGCCATGCCCACCCCCCACATCTGGGGCAGGAAAGGGGCTGAAGGTTGAATTGATCACCAATGGCCAATGAGTTAATCAGTCATGCCCAGGTAATGAAGCTTTCCGACAAACCCTCAAAGTGTGGGGTTTCAGAGAGCTTCAAGTTGATGGACAAGAATGTGCCAGAAGGGTAGTGTACCTCAAACTCTACGGAGACAGAAACTTCTGAGCTTGGGACACTTCCGGACCTTGTCCTGTGTGTCTGTCTCTTCATCTGGCTGCTCACTCATATCCTTTAATAACCTTTGTAATAAACTAGTGATCTAGCAAGTAAGCTATTTTCCAGAGTTCTATGACCTGCTCTAGCAAATGAGAATTTCTCATTGATAGCTGGTTGTTCAGAAGCACAGGTAATAACTTGGACTTGTGACTGACTTCTGAAGTGGGGGGTAAAGGATATTTTTGTGGCACTGAGTCCTTGATCTGTGGGATCTGATGCTCCCAGTTGGTCATCAGAACTGAGTTTGGTTTTAGGTCACAGGTAAAGGCTGTTGCAGAATTGCTCCAGGTGGTTCCTCACACGCTTTCACACCCACACCCACGTATTTGATGACCAGAAGTGTGAGGGATAACACAGCTTATGGAGAGGAGACACAAGAGTGTGTTTCCATGAGTCTATAATCAGAAATTGAGGCCAGCTGGTGCAAACTCTGACAACTATATAAAACACATGTCCACGTAGTGATTAAGATTTGAAGGGAATTTGGTAGAACGTGAATAGATTGTAATTTTTCAGTATTTTTTTCTGCAAAGATGATGTTTTTATAAAACTATAAGTCAGTGAAATCGCTTATAACATCACCAACACACCACCCCTCTTTCATATGTGCCATATGGGTTCTCGCGTGCTGGGAAATTTAAAAATAACTGTTCTTTCCGCATGGAAAAGACTCAAATGCAGTGAGTTGGCTTCCTGTTCTTGAGAGTAGAGGGTGCTGCTGTGCCCCAGCCTTTGAGCATCTGGGTTTTTTTCCTTCCAGCCAGGGCTGCAGTCTCTTACTTCCCTCACAGCCTTAATCTACTGTTTATGGCTTTCAAGATGGTTGCTGGGGAAACCAGCCAAATGTCATGGAAGATTAGTATGCAGCTTCAGAGGGGACACAGGCAAAGAGAATCATGAATTCAGGGAAAGTCAAGTCCACTCTGATTAAATCTGAGAGAGAGAGAAAGAGAGACAGAGAGACAGAGAGAGAGACCGACAGAAAGACTTAGGTCAATTACTTTTGAATTCAATTCCTTCCTTTTTATTCAAAGGGATGGGGGTCGGGGGGAGCAGTACAGGCTGAAAGACTCCTAGTTCTTAATTATCTACAGGGCACACAGGGCAATTTTTCATGTCACTGATCCCCCAGGGAAACGTGGGCTGTGGTACCCAGGATGAGATCCAGGGGCGGCAGGTGCCCCTGCCCACCAGCTGTCGTCCTGCATTTGGGCTAATTCCTATTTTGCCACTGGGAGCCATGGAGGGTGAGAAAGAAGAGAGAGGCAGGGCTGTGCCAGGATTCTGGAACCCCCAGCAGCCACCTGGTCTCTATGGGCAGCTGTAAAATGGTGGGAGGACTGTTTGGTCTCTGCTGCCTCTTCCAGCTCCCTGGTGAGTTGGGACGTTGTGACTGTCCCTTTAAACCACCAGCCCAGGTAATTGTAGTAGCTTCCTCATTTTTACACTACATTCTTAGGAACCCCCTGATCGGGTTTATGAGCATAAATTCTTTGGAAGTGATTATCAGGGAAATTTCTGTTCCCAGAGTGAAAATGAAGCTGTAAATTAAGTTGAGCCCTTTGGCCATGAGCATGATCTGCTCTCCTCACTGTGGCCAGCCACCTGTGCTCTTAGGGAGACTGCTGGGAGCACTTCTTGGTGCAGCGAGCCCATCAGCAGCACCTCAGGATCCACACTAATATCAGTTACTCCAGGAAAACCAGAGCAGAGAAAGAACACACACACACACAGACACACACACACGCTGAAGTTCAACAGCTACTCCATTTACCTGTTGTGTGACACCATCTACAAGCCTTGGTGGGGAACTCAGAAAAACCAACCCTGACTTTGGACTTCTCCAGAACTGCGAGGAAATACATTTCTGTCCTTTAAGCCCCCCAGTCTATGGTTCTTTGCTATGGCTGCCCTAGCAAATTACTGTCACCTTATAATCGGTCACATCACAGGGCTTCCAGTTTTTCAAACCTGAAAAAAAATTTACACCAAGAAAAAATAATGAAGGACACAGTTTGAGAGCAAAATTTTATAAATGAAGAAAACTTAAATAAATACAGGTTGTGTTATTTCTTCCTTCTCTGGATCTTAAGGGGTTTAAATAGGTGCAATACTATGAAACCACAACAAAGTACCTCATCCTATCAAAAATTTACAGTAATAAAATACTATTTTTTATGCATTGAGTGTGTGCTATATGTCTCTCAGTGAGAACATGGAAGCCTGACATTGCTGCTGTCTGTCCCTCAATATTAAGACCAGAAGGAAAATTCTGGGGTGAATAGTATGGAAGATCTGTGTCAGAAACCCCTACACCCCAAGTTATATTGGGGTATATTTCTAAAACACATTTAAATTGATTCCTCATTTCTCATCAGAATTAAAGTTGGATGCTGAAAAATGAAGCCCAGATTTAAAAAAAAAAATGCCTATTTATTAGATCGCTGACATCTGACCAATTCTGCCATGTGTAAAATGCTCTCACATTTTGCACTATATAAAGTTCACTGATCTACTCAAACACACCTAACGGCTATTATAGTGTTGTTTGGCCCTCTCCCATTTCCCTTTCTGAGGTGAAGGACCTGCCCCCTGGCTGCAGTGACAGGCATGTGACTCGACCTCGCCAGCCAGAACCTTCCGCATGAGTTGTTGGCGGCCATGTTATGTACTCTGAGGGAAGGCCTTTTTGCAGTAAGAGGAAGTGAGGCAGTGAGGCAGACCTTCAAAGAGGTTGAAATAAGGAGAGTTGTTGAATGATGAAGGGAGAGTTCTAGTCTTATGCCTTTCTGAGCCCTTTTATTAAAATTGAAGTAATATTGCATTGAACCCCATATAGGAGTCAGAGCAATACATTTCCACCTCAGGACAGATTTCTCACCCCTGTCTCCTCACACATGGCACTGGGTTAGTCTGTGACCCACGGTAGGTGGCACAAGCGATAGCATGTCACTTCTGAGATTAGGAGGCAAAAAGACTCCATCTTGGGCTCTTTCTCCCTCATCACTCATCCTGGGGAAAGCCAGCTTCCATGCCTGTGAGCAGGCTTGTGCTAAGGTCCTGTGGTGAGGTACCAAACCCTCCTGCCTACACCAAGTATTTGAGCTCAGAAGCTATTCTCCAGGCCCTTGGGATGACTGTGGCCCTTGCTGACTTCTCCACAGGACCTTCTGAGAGATCCCGAGTTACTTACTCCCAGATTCCCTATTCTCAGAAACTGTAAGAAAATATTTTGTTGTCTTAAACGGCTACATTTGGGGGTAATTTGTTATGCAGCAATAGCTAACTAATTTACTCCTTAATGGATTTTTATTAAAACTGTCATTAAATTTTCTACAGCCTGAGCAATTAGAAAATGCCTTAAGGTTTTTCATTTTTAATAGGGACAAGTAAGGGAAATCAGAGACAGGAATGGAGTGGGAGAGCAGCTCTGTGTCCTTGCACAATGGAATTCACTAGCACATTTGGAATTGGCAGGTGGCAATAGTAAGTCAAAGCCCAAGGACTGCTTCTCATTTGCAAAGGAGAAATATCTCCATTTTGAACTTTCCAACAGTTGGACATTTCTAATAAACAATCTCAGAAACTAAAGTTGTCAAGGAGTTTGTAGAATACTAGTAAATTTGGCCCATAGAAGAACTTTCATTCGTAGGGCTCACTCAGGCAACCTCTGGGACATAATTTTTGGTCTAATTACCTCCTTTGGAGCCAAGGGATATGATCAAATCTCCCCGGACAGAAGACTGTATAGTTTTCAATTCAAAATCTTAATTATTTGGGGCCTCTCTGGTGGTGCAAGGGGTTAAGATGCAACCCATGAAGCTCTCCACAGCCACTGCAACACGAGTTCGATCCCTGACCAGGGGGATACCCACATGGCACAGCAGACCTCTCCCGTCTCGCCCGCTGCTCCCCTCAGCAGTGTATTTCAGTCAATCTGCCTGTTCTGATCCCTACTCTGTCTCTGGTGAATCCTCTCAGCCCCAACACACCTGGACTGTACCCCAGTTCTTGTATGCATAAATAAATAAATCTTTAAAAAAAACCCAAAATCTCAATTATTCAAAATATATTAAAGAAAGCAGGAAGCCAAGAATAAAACTTGATTATCTTTTTGAAGCAAAAGGAAACAGCAACTCTAGAATCAAAAGAAACTTTTTTCATCCATATGAATGTACATTTAATGGTCTATGTAACATATATGGAAAAAGCATTCATATACACACATCTAGAGTAAACTGTACCTCATATTTTTCTTAAATATCCTAAAATAAAAGACACAGACATCTTCAATAAAATCGGAATTTCACCTGAACAAATCACAGCAAGATATTTTCTTCTAGAGCAAAAGAGAAAAATAACATGAAAAAGAGCAGTATTAATAGTTTTCTCAAAGTTTATATAAATGTCTTATAAAGCCCATTAGTAAATTGGGGCACATTTTCATTACTAATTCATGTGAGCTCTCTCTAATGTATGGATAACTATGTTTAATGTCTGTCTTTATTTGTGTATATTCCTTTTATTTGTAGTATCTAGCTGCATATATTCCTGCACCATGGACTACAGTTTTTATATCTTAACATAATGCAAGTGTTGTATACATCTTACTTCTCACTTTTGTCACTCAATTCTGTTTTTAAGATCCACCCGTGACTGTGGACTCTGTTGCTGTATAGTTCTCCATTATGTTCATTTCTCGCTTCCAAAATAATGGTTCAATGAACATCCAGCACGTCTCCTTGTGAGCCTTTGGAATATATGTATCTCCACAAGCAGAACTGCTGAGACAAAGATTTTGTCCCTATGGAGAAGACAAAGTATTGCCAGATTGTTCCTCAGAATAACTAAACCAGTCTATACCTCCACTACCTCCTAATTTATACTTTGGGAAAAACTCGACATACCTAAAGTATTACTCAAGAGGGTATACTTAATTACCACATCCTTATTGAAGTTTGAAAATTTCCATTAATGTTTTGTAACCATTATGAATTCTATCCTAGGTCTTTGATAGCACAAAGAAATGCTACCAATCTTTCTAAGTTATTCTAATAGCTTAATCAACTTGGTTTTTCCATTTTTTATTTTTTTTTATATAGAGGCATGTTTTCTTTCTTTCTTTCTTTCTTTCTTTCTTTCTTTCTTTCTTTCTTTCTTTCTTTCTTTCTTTCTTTCTTTCTTTCTTTCTTTCTTTCTTTCTTTCTTTCTTTCTTTCTTTCTTTCTTTCTTTTCTTTCTTTCTTTCTTTTTGTTTATACATGCACTGGGTACAGTCAGAAGCGCGGGAGGGTGAGAGAATTCACCAGAGCCAGAGCGGAGAGCAGAGCAGGCAGAAGGACCGAGGTACACTGCTGAGGGGAGCAGCGGGCGGCAGGAGAGGTCTGCGCGCCATGTGGGACCCTCCTCTGGTGGCCGGGGAGCAGCCGGGGATCGAACCGGCGCCACAGAGGCTGTGGGCAGCTTCGCAACCCAGCGCTCAACCGCTGCGCCACCGGGGAGGCCCGGTTTTTCCATTTATTAAGGCTGGAAGGCTCCTTCTGAAATACTCTTAATATTTTTGCTTGGAGAAATTAAGAACTCTTAATTTATAAACCTACCTATTAGGCACACTCTATCAAGATTTTACTAGTGTTTTCTCAAAATATCCCTCTAATATCAGTACACTGGCACTTTAGGGCAAAAGACTCTACAACTGATTAGATTTGATAAACACGTGTATCTTCTGGAGACTCAGAATGCCCAAATGTAAAAGTTCCTAGAAGTATTCCAATCACTTCAGACCACAAACTTTTCCCAAGTAACAGTCTTTGAAACAACCTATTTAAATACTTAACCTACAAATTACTTATTTTTCTGCCTGTACCATGTCTCAGAAGATCAGGGCAAGATTTGTCATCTTTCCTACATGTATGAATTTTAATCTTTTCTCCCTGTAAGAGCCACATTTTGATGTGTCAGTGAAGGGAGAGTGACTTACTGATGTCCCCTACTATCTATTCTTACATGGTTCTTGTTAACAATAGCTGTCTGACACACACGTTGTCAAATTTAACTTTTAAGTCAGTCTCTTTTTATGAGGTAAATTATTTCAACCTTTATTTTTGCAATTTCTATTCTACATAAAAAAGTTGTTTTATTCTTGGGTTGTTTGCAGTCTTCCAACTTGCTGTTTAGCCAAGGAATCCCTGCAAGGACTCTTAAGCTGAGACCATTACATACAAGAAATTAGTCAAAGCAGGAGTGCGAGGCCTGTTACCTGGAAGCTCAGCTCCACCTGGAGGCAGCCCCAGAAACATAGCTTGGAAAAGTGTTAGACTGGGAATGTCCATGACTCACTCAGCTCTAGTTTTATTAAAACAAACAAATACATGAACAGTTTTAAGTACCTTTGTATACTAATACATTTTCTCCTGAAAAATTAAAGATTTCACTTCAACAGAGCAGTGGAGTATGGTAGAAAGAACCCAGATAGAGGCAAGAAATTTATTTCCCAGCCCAAGTTGGCTCCTATCCAAAAATGTCAATATGGCAATACCTCCCGAGCCACTGACTTGTAAAGGAGTGCAGGCCGCTGAAATAGGTGGTTGTTTGGAACTGCTCTGCTGAATACCCTCAGAGGCTGGAGGGACTTGGGTACACACTCCTCTGTCCCCTTCAAAGGCAACTCTGTTGACCTTTTTTCCCCCTTGGTAATTAGGTTTACATTGGACTTTATGTAAAATTTCATTTGAACAGTTTTATGGCTTAAAAAAATATTAAAAAATTTGCTGCAGTACGTAAATCTCTATAGTCATTTCTAGCTTCAATATTTTGCAGATCTTTTTTTTTAAACTGAAAAGTAAACCAGGGTAAAATTTCTTGGTGGTTTCCTGGTGGCAATGAGTCACTACCTTTAACTCTGGCACAGCACAGCATGATGGTTCAACCGGAATCTAATAAAGAAACAAACATATTTTACTCATCTGCCTTTTTTGGGTTCTGACCTTGTGGAAGTGGTACTCATTGAAAATAATGCACACAAAGAACTCAATGGATTGGAAAAAAAACAAACAAACACGAACTTTATTTTTATTAGATTTAAAAACAAAAGTTGTTACACTTAATCACAAAGAATCCCAAAATTTACATTCTGCTTTTTGTCACCTTGATAGGACAAGGAATGTTTGAATGTCTTCAAAATACAGGATAGTTCAAAGTGGACAAATAAACTACTACAAACTATGGATAGTCACTTCAAATACACGAAAATATGGAATACACGTATATAAATTACTGACCAGTATTCACTACAGTTTATAGTACCAGAAAGCAAACGTGTTCCCAAATAAGACACAAGATCACAAACGTGTTCCGATAAAGCCATAAACTCAACTCCTGGTGAGACAGACGTAAAATGATCAAGAAAGTTTTCTTTGACTTGGAAGATACATGAGATTGGCCCCATCACAGCTGAGAAGGGTGGGGAGGGTATGGCACAGTAACAGGATTAGCCACCTCTACCTCTCCTCAGTCCCCAACCTGAGGGAGAGAGACTGGGGACTAAATAGAAATACAATACAGAGAACACATATTATCTGCATAGATAGAAATCTTCTTCCATTATAATGAGAATGAACATTCAGTCAAAGCTACTCGGCAGTTCCAAAAGTTTTCAGGACAAGCTTTTGCTTCAAAAGGAAGTATAGGTACACAAGACAGAACACAGATCTAATTCACCAGAGGGCTTTAAATTTTTGTATAAATGGAGAGAGACTGACTCAGCTCAAGGTGTGTGTCTTTTAACCTTGGCTGAAAAATTCTGTTTTGAACTTGCCCTAATTTTACACCAGTGAGTCTAGCGGTGGTTGGAAATTTCAGTTTCTTTGTTACTTACACACTTGGTAATAACAATACTTTCCAAGTTATTAACATTTTCCCCATAATTAAAGCAGACAGTGGCAATCGAATGAAGACGTTCTGGCTCACCCACATTCTAAGGGGAGTTTAAAAACACAAGTGAGCGTGTATCACATTGTTGGACAAGGTTCAAGCATCTGATTCCTTCAATTTATTTAACTTTCTAAAAGGTGGGCCTTATAACACAGACCGGCCTCTCCAGCTGGGAGGCAACTGTTTGCCCAAGACTTTCGTTCCTTTACATTTGTCACAACCACCGTCAGGCATCTGTTTCCTTTCACACCTACAGGGAGCTGCTGTGAACATGCATGAAGGAGCACAGTGAGCTGGCCAAGGAAGGGGGACCTAGGGACCCCTAGCTAGAGGAATGAACTGCCCAGGAGGAAAGCGATGCCTGCACCTCACACCTACAGAGGGGAGCCTGGGCACCAAACAATTTCGGACATTTCCCATTGCTCAACTTTGCTTGAGATTTGCCCTTTTAAAGTGAAGCCCTGATCTGTACGAGGGCCTGACATACAGGCCATCTGCCAGACCACCTCACCAGCACTGAGCATCCCATCGTGTTACATGTCGGTTTTATTAAAGTCTCATCTCAAGTATTTTAATCTCATTATTATTAAAATCTTAGAAAGCCCACAGAAAATGTCAAAGCAATTACTGGCAACCTGGATAACATTTCTGAAGCAGACTCCAGTCCCAACGGTACAAAGACAATGAAAACATCAAACATTGAACGTCAAATTTGTTCATTAATATTACCAAGTCACTGCCTTCAACAGATAAGATTTTTCTTATTCATTGTACCTTATGGGGGTGTGTGTGTGTGTTTCTCTTTGTTTTCTTATGACAGGGATTCAGTCCTCTGAGTGTTTTTAAGAGGTCAATGCAAGAAAAAGTAGACAGAGCACTAGCCTGGGAGCTGGGGTTGCCAGTTCTAGCCAGGGGCTGCCTTTCTGTGGCTTTGCAGCCTCACCTCAGTTTACTCATCTGTGTAACAAGAGGATGAGAGCCGATGATTTCCAAAGCCACCTTGAGCTCTGTCACTGGGACTCAGAAAATGAAATAGTTTCACTTATTTTTTTTAATCAAGTCTTTTCACAGCATTAAAAAAATGGCATTTATTGTGAAACAAAATGACATATATATATATAGGCTGTATTATTTAAAAGAACAAAAAAGAACAGTATTATGCTGACCTCTATCTGCTGGGGTGTCTGATTCACACATCCCGTAAGCCGCAGTGGTCTGTTTAAAATTTCTTAGTAGCTTTTATTTGGCTCTTAATTGTTGACAGATTTTAGTGTATAAAATCCTGAAGGAGGATGACAGAGACTAATTTGTTTTCTACCGGACTTTTACTTTCCAAGTAAGGATACTGCTCTTACTATTTCTGCCTCCCAGCACTTTAAACTAGTAAATGCCCACACACTTTAAGAAAGGATGTAATTCTGGCTTTTGAAGGGTGTATGTTGGAAGAGCTTAGAACACAGGCGCCAGTGCAGGTCCTCTGATCTATCAAGTGTCGTGGTTTTCCTACCTTCAGAGATAATCACATCACAGTGTCACTTTCTTTCCTCACAATTGTCTAAAGAATGTGATTCCCAAGAATAGGTCATGATTTTTAAAGGAAGCATGCCTACTATCAAAGTTAAATGTATTATTTCAAAGAAGGAAAAACACAGACAAACTTATTTAAAATGACAAAAAAAGGACAGATGCCATAATACCTGCTGAGATTCTGGTTGATTTTACAATATCTAAAAGTAATGGTCATTTAATAGTTTTTATTTTAGAGTTCACCTTATGGAAATGTACTAGAATAATGGAAGTATGAATGCCCTCCATTCAGACAGGTTTAACAGATTAAATAATGATATATTAACAAATATATCCCTAAATATTATAGGTATTTACTAGTTTGCTAACATTTAATATATATATTTCAATTTGGTTTGAGTTTTTCTTTAATTTATTCAATATTCTCAAAAATATCAGGGCAAGAGAAAAGTTTGGGTAACTTGCACTACTTTTACTTTCAAAAAGTTTTGTATGTCAAGGGTAGAATATTCTAAAATTGGATGGTAGAGAATGAAAGTCAAGTCAAATAATAATATATCATGATTTTGATTAGTCAGAAAATTATAGTGAATGCATGTTACCTAAAAGGAAATTCAAAATTCTGACACAAGTTCGTGCAAAATGGAGATTAAAAAACCAGCAAATGCTGCATTTAGAACTGCAACATAAAAGTATGAAATGGCTGTTCAGTGAAATTGCCAAAAAATCTGAATTCAATACACTGCTCATAGAATCACAATTTCCATCTCAATTGACACCGCAGCTTAGCAGTGATGGATGTACATTAGTGGGACAGTTTACCACCCCAGAGTACTTGAGGGCCAGGAAAATATAGAAAAATTGTCTTCAGAAATAAATTCCACCATAATAAGAACATCTCAACTACAACATGCTACCAAAAATCTACACCCATCATGGCCTGAATCTCTGCATTTTCCTCTTATTGTAGAGGCATGGCATTGGTTTGTTACTGCAAACTCCCACGTGCAGCCCCTTCATGCACGCAGCAGGGAGCTCCAGACAGTCACTACAGAAGGGAAACATAGAGCGAGTTGTCAGCAGAGCCCTTGCCAAAACAAAGTCTGAACAGATCACAGAGTAAAAGATGCCTGCTTCTAGTTGGAGGTTCAAATACACACTCTGAAGTACAAGTAAGAAACAATTCTGTGTTATAGAAAGGTGCCAACTGTCAGTCAGGGTAAAAGATTTCTCAAAAAAAAAGTCTGACTAATGAATGCTCTCCCCCACCTTTCCCTAGTTCACAGAAAGTGTGTGCACGTGACTTTTCTTTCAAAGCAAGTCGGAAAACATTTAAGTGGGGAATTTTATACGATCATCAGAAAACCCCGTCATTACCGTTTCTCATATAAAGTCTTGAGTGACACACATGACGACGCAGCGCACAGAGGAACTCCGTGGTGCTGAAGGAGTTCGGGACAGCCACAGGCCAGAACACGGTCACAAAGAACAGGTCACAGTCGCCACCTGAGGTCACAGTGCATCAAGCTTACTGATTCCACTTCCAAAGTGGCAGTGTTTCCCCCGGGGCGGGTCGAGGCATTAGGAACATGGTGTGCCATCGCTCTCCTCCCAAGTCTAAGTAAGAGTCACAGGGACAAGAGCAACACGCACACACATTTGTGCCATTTGATTCCGACATTCAAAGTGCATTTGGCATTTCTTCCCCAAAGCTAAAAAAAAAAAAAATACTCTCGAAAAATTATTTTCTATGAATTGCTCTCTATTTCAGGTTCTTTTCGTGCAAAAAGTTTCAGGTGTGCTCAGTAACAATTAACTTTTGATCCACAGATTAGTCAGAAGCTATTATACCAGTACAAAAATACACTAGATTATTAAAATCATAAGACTATTTTTAAGTTCATAAAAATGGTACTGCACTCGGTGACTATCATTCCAGTGTTGGGGTACCCCGTGCTCTATGGAATCAGGGAAATTAACATGGCAGTGGGGAACCAATTCCTAATTTGCTACTGCTTAAAAATGGTCAAGTTTTGCCACATGTCGGAGGTCAATGCTGTAAAGTGCTGTTCCGAAGATCAGCTGACATTCCGAGCAGGTACAATCAGCTGTTACTCTAACGCTACCACATCCCTGGCGGCGCAGGCTTGGTGCACACACCCCCCAGCCCCACCCCTTCCAGCCTCACCTCCCCTGGCGGCAGCAGAGCGCCAGCAGGAGGACCCGCTTTCCATCACTGAGCCCAACATGGCAGCTGCCACCCAGCACAACCTGGGCTCTCACAGAGCACAGTCGAAGGTCTGGGGCTCACTGAGGGCTGAGGTTGGAGCTTCGGGGCGCCTTGTCTGGGTGATTTTCTGTTTGGGATTTTTTGTTTCCTCTTCCTCCTCAGTTTCACTTTCGCAGACATGAACCACCACACTTGGTGTCGACTCAGTTCCTGCGTGAAGTTCGTATTTCTCTCCTGTGGGATAAACACAGTCAGAACCACAGCCAAAGCCTCACTTCCACTAAAAAGGAGCATTCTGGCTCTTGAAACTTCTTGCTTCTACTCCTATTTTAATTGCTGATCATTGGTTTCTCAATCTTTTAAATCTTTGGCCAGAGTACTTTATCTTGCTTTGGCATTTGAGATGTGATCCTATTAAGGTTCTTACAAAGTTTTCCCATTTCAAGAAATGAGATAGCCAGGAGTGCTGAGGTCTTGGGAGGTAAAATGCAAATGCTAATTATGATTCTATGAAAAATTTGAGTGAATTTATTTACCTTCAGAATGGTTTTGACTTTCTCTTGGGAGACAACCACAAGGCTCTGGGTAGTACGGACAATGTCTTTATTACAGGATCCCAGACATCCAAGATACAGCTGTAATGTCTAAAAACACCAGCAAAATCACTCTCCCTCAAAACCCCTCTTGTATCCTCTATAGGAGAGAGGACCCTGTTGGAGGTGAACTACTAGTCTGAACCAGCAATGACACTGATTTCTTATATTATCTTAAATGATGAGAGAGAAATTAAATGGAAGGAAAAGAAGAAATGAAAAATAAATGCAAGAGAGGAAATTGGAAGGCATGAGTAGGTAGTTGATATGAAGTTATCCTTATGGTATTTTTAGGGGTGAGAAGTCAACTAAGACTTATGTTCCAGTAGAATTTCTAGCAATAAAAAATGTGGTTATACTTTCTGAGTATCATGTATGTATCACTGAAGTATTTTTTTCTGATATTTATTTATTTTGTAGAAGAACTGGGGTGTAGGCCAGAGGTGTGGAAGGTGAGAGGATTCACCAGAGACAGAGTGGGGAGCAGAACAGGAGGATCTACTGAAATACACTGGTGAGGGGAGAAGAGAGTGAGACAGGAGAGGTCTGCTGTGCCATGTGGGTTAGTTCAGGTCATAGTGGTGATAGTGCTGAGACTTAACCCCTAGGCTCCCAGGGAGCCTCCCTCATTGAAGTCTTATAACCACATTGAAAAGTAGCTGTTGGGCCTCCCGGGTGGCGCAGTGGTTGAGCGCTGGGTTACGAAGCTGCCCTCAGCCTCTGCAACGCCAGTTAGATCCCCAGCTGCCAGGCGAGAGTCCCACATGGCGCGCAGACCTCTCCTGCCGCCCGCTGCTCCCCTCAGCAGTGTGCTTCGTCAGCCTGCCTGTTGTGCCCCTGCTCTGGCTCTGGTGAATTCTCTCACCCTCCCGCGCTTCTGACTGTACCCAGTGCTTGTATAAATAAATAAATAAATCTTTAAAAAAAAGAAAAGAAAAGTAGCTGTTACGATCTCTCTTTAATAAATGAGAAAGCAGGCTGGCAAAATTCGAGCTACATAACTTGCTCAAGATCACAAAGTTAGCAAATGCTAGAACCTGAACTTAGGTGTGTGGACTTTATCGTCTACTCTGATCATGCTGCTGCTAGCTGGCTGCAAAACAAATTGCAGACTATGGTCTTTCATGCAGAAGTTTCTTGGGAAAAAAACTTGGAAGATAGAAGAAATTTGTTACCTGGTCCCAATTTGGAAACAGCACAGAGTAAATCATAGTTTATAACAGGCATTGCATCTTCACCCTGCTTCCACCCCACTGGAGGAGAGGCTGGAGGGGAGATGAGGAACTGCTTGGCTGGCTGGGGTGGCTGCAAATATGATTTGTCTCGTGTCTCACTGGATGTCTGGACCTGCAGGGAAAAAGACACTTAAAACCAGATTGCGACCTTGGTATTTTCTCTTCCTTTTCATCTTTATGTTAACAGTTACATCTCTTAGGAGAAAATTAAAAATTTCTTTCCTAGTCTATGTCTCCAAGCAGCTGGGTCTGGGTCTGTTTCACCTCTGACATGCCATGCACAGCTTATAGCCCGTGCATTTGGTGCTCAGTAAATATTAGATGAATGAAAAAATTAACTGATGAAGAGATGAACAAACAATGTGTGATAATAAGCACTAAATTCTAATTTTAGAAATTATATCATCTCTATCATTGGGGTTTTCATTGGGAGTTTGAGACTACAAGCTTTTTTTTTTTTAAGTTTTATTTTTATTTATTTATGCATATAAGAACTAGGGTACAGGCCAGAGGTGTGGGGGGTGAGTGGGGACCTCATCAGAGACAGAGTGGGTGCAGAACGGGCAGATCTACTGAAATACACTGCCAAGGTGGGCAGCAGGTGAGACAGGAGAGGCCTGCTGCGTCATGTGGGTAGCTCCCTGGCCAGGTATAGAACTCATGCTACAGTGGCTGATGACAGCCTGATAGTGCTGAGACTTTAAGCACTGTGCCACCAGAGACCCCAAACTTCTTTTTTAATTTAAAGGCCAAGACCAAGGAAAAAAAAAAACTTTGTCAAAGGGGGAAAGGAATATTAAGTGCCTGATCTGATGCCTCATTTTGCCAATTCTTATAAGAAGAAATTGGTTTCTCAGAGTCACACCAATGTAGGATTAAAAAAAGTATAATCAATCTTGGTAATTCATAGGATCCTCTACAATTTCAAAACCTAAGACAGCCTTTCTCTACAGTTCAATGTCCCCTCCCTGAACACCCTTTCGATCGGCAGCTATTTTTTTTTTTTTTTTTTTTTTTTTTTTATAAATTTTATTGTTATATTCCCCATACAATTGCAGCCCCCCCATTCTGACCCCAATCCCTCCTCTCCCGCCCCCGCCCCCTAAAAGTGTCTCTGGTTCATAGTTTTTTGTTGATTTTGATTTTCACTTTCTTATAGTTATTCATTTTCCTGGTCCCTTATTTAAGTTTTCTAGATTCCTGCTATGAGTGAGACCATCGATCGGCAGCTATTTTTAAGGGAGTTTCTCATACGAATCACAGAATACAGACATGATTTCAGAGACTATTTTTTCAATTCTCCGGAGGATGTTACATTATGAGAACATTCTCGATGCAAAAGAGAGACGTTAATTTACTACTGATCTGAAGTGTGAGGGCTTAACCCTCATGGAATCCCAGTGGAGAAAAGCTGCCAGAAAGATGAATTCCTTTAACTACAAGTCTAAAGTAAAACAAAGTTAGGAGGGAAAATATGCTCAATCAATAAGTTATTTATCTGTACAATAAAGGAGACATATTTGACATTATTTGCTTACTGGGGTTCTTCCTCTCAAAGAACCTGTAATGTAACAATACAGATAATGGAGAACTAATAATATTTTTGGATAGAGAAGAACAAATTCTGAGCACAGTGTTCTGGCACTGTGCTCTTGACGTACCTGTGCAAAATACAGCTTCAGCTTCTTCCCGCTGAAGTCTGTCTCATGGAGTTCTACTCGCGCTCTTGCTGCTGCTTCAGGCTTGCTGAAATTTATTCTGACTCTCCTAAAGCTTTTAAACAACTGAAACGTAACTTGGTCATCGTAGTTGGTGAAAAGTGCTTCAAATCTCTCCTACAAATTGAGGAGCAACAGGGTTAGGGAGAAATTTAAATCATTAAACCTATAATGGGGTGGAAGTCTTACAATGTACCTTTTTTCCCCCAAAGCATCCTTTTCTCACAGGTATATGAAAACAGGTATCCTGTCATTTACATGCTAAATTCTACAATGTTCGCTTATTTTAGAAGCAACTCTATTAAATACTAGGTAGGTGCAAATTACAAAATAAGACGTTTTAAAATAAATTTTAGGAATAAAGATGATACAAACATGACAATTATTAGAAAAAACAATACCACCGTTTTGAAGTCTCCAGTACGTTCCTTCCCCAAGTAACCATTCCTGTAATTCTGCGCGCATCATCTTCCTTTTCTTTGTAGTTTCACAATTATCTATATTCCTAATAATACAACGTATTCTTCTGGAGCTTGTTTTTTTCTCCTTACATTTTGTTCCCCAGTTTCCCTTGCTGCTGTCTGTGCACTGCTAGTTAGTATTCTACTGTGGAGCTACACAATTTTATCTCCTGCTGCCGGAATCTGGACCAGCTCCAGGCTCCTGCTACTGCAGAGCTGTTGAGCATCCTCGGGCGGGTCTGTTAGGATCCATCACACATGGGTTTCTCTGGTGGATGTACTACTAGTGGCACATCTTTAACTTTAAAGTTGTCTTTTTTGGCATGTCTACCATGCCAGGTAGTTATCCAAAGTGTTTGTAGCAACTTATTCTTTAAGAGCAAATATGTGATCTGGCTGCACTTGATACAGACCTTCCGTGGGCAGGAGGCAATGTGAAGTGGACTCAGATTTAGTTTACAATTCCTTTTCCTCTCAGTAATAAACTTGAGCCTCTTTTCATGAGTATTGGCCACTTGGGGTTCTCCTTAATATTTACGTTCACTTGTCTATTGGGTTGGCTTTTTAACGAGTCATGGGAGTCCCACAGAAACCCCTTGTCAATTACCTGTGCCATAAGTATTCCCCGCCCCCCCCTCCCCACCAGTTCTTCTCACGATGGTGGTTTTGTTTGTAGAGATGGAAGTTTTACATTTGAACATTACTAAACTTCACAAATGTTTTCCTTAAGAAGCCCTGAGGTCGTAACATTCTCATGGGTTGTGTGCTCTGAGCTGTGCGAGTTTACCTTTCACACTGAAGTCTTAATATAAAATAGATGCTTACAGTGAGGGGTCCCCACATCACCTCACCAGCAACCACTCTTTTTTCCTATTACTATATATGATTCTGTATTTTTTAGAGTTTTGTATAAATGTACTCTTTTTGGAGTGGGGGAAGATCTGGCTCTTTTTGCTGAGCATATTTATCTTGAGATGCACCCACGTGACTGTCACTGTTGAGTCGAATTCCACTGCGGGATATGTATCCAGCCCCTGCTGCTGGACATCTGGGTTATTTCTAGTTTTGAACTATTACAAATAAATCTGCTATCAACATTCACATATAGGTTTTCATGGATATGATTTTATTTCTTTTTTTTTTAAAGATTTATTTACGCATACGAGAACTGGGGTATAGGCCAGTATATGGTGTGGGGGCGGTGAGAGGATTCACCAGAGACAAAGTAGGGAGCAGAACAGGCAGATCTATTGAAATACAGGGCTGAGGGGAGCAGCACATGAGATAGGAGAGGTCTGCTGTGCCATGTGGGTCACCTCCCTGGCCAGCCGGGGAATTGAACTCATACTGCAGTGACTGGCAATAGCTTGATAGCGCTGTTTTTAACCCCTGTGCCACCAGGGAGGCACAGGGGTTAAAGGCATTAAAGAACACATGTACGTAAATTTAATGTACGTAAATTTTGTACGTAAATTTAAATGTATGTAAATTTTTCAGACTGCAGTTAACTGTGGATAATTCAAGCTGGAAAGTAAGACCATAGAGAAGGGGGGGGACTATGGTGACTCTGCTTTTTTGTATCATGTAATATTTTCTCCTTTTCTTCTAGAAGTTTTACTGCTTTGTTCTTATACTTAGGTCTATGATCCACTTCAAGTTAACTTTTATATGTGCTGTGAGGCAAGAGTTGACCATCATTTTTCCCCATATTAACCCTTTGTTTCAACACTAATTTTGCAAAGTTTATCCTTTCCCCTATGCACCAAAAATGTAAGACACAGTGGAGAGAAATTATAGACCCAAATAAATGGAGATATACCTCCAGGAATCACTTTGATACAACTGGCTCTATTGTAATTACTCCTACATCAATTTCTACTCTTTATTCTTTTCTTGACATTGATGCTTAATCTATTAATTTTTCAGCTTTTCATATTTCTGATATGAATAAAGAATATACATTTTTAAGTGCTTTAAACTGTAGATACCCACAAGTTTGGGCATGCATTCATTTCATTATCATTTGATCCTAAATTCTTTCTAATTCCCATTATGGCTTCTTCCTTGTCTTATGAATTGCTTAGATTTGCTTGTCAAAATAGATGGGATTTTATTTATCTTTTTAATATCTCACTAGCTTTCATTATGGCCATAGCAATACTATATCTCTGGCACTTTTGAGACATACTTTCGGTTCAGGATATCATCAATTTTCATAAATCTTCTATGTGTACTGGAAAAGAATGTATTTTGGCAGTTGTTGGGTATGGTACTGTAAATATGCTTAGTAGATAATGTGTTCTTTAGATATTCTATATATTGATTTTTATATATTTTTTGGTCTGCTCAAGAGTGTTTACCAAGAGAAGTCTGTTAAAATTTCTCACTAATAGGTGGACTTATTTTCCCTTGTGATTTGATCATTTTTGCTTCATATATTTTAAGATTATGTTACTGTGTGCATGTAGGCCTACAATTATTTTACCTTCCTGGTGAACTGAGCCTTTAATAATTAGGTAGCAGCCCTCATTATCTTTCTCTCTCTAAGAATACTTTGTGCCTTAAAGCCCAATCTGTTGGTATCACCTTCTCTTGGTTGTACAGTGCATAGAACCCATTCCCATGCTTTACTTCTAACCTATATCCTCATGTTTTAGATATACCTCATAAAAAGTGTATTTGTACATATGCATGTGTGCACACAAATAAATCCAGCTTGACAATGGAAGTCTTTTCATTGGAGAAATTAGTCCATCCTGAATACTGATATTTTTTTCATTCCATCCTCTTACTTTACACCTCAAATTTTCCATGTTTCCTTTTTTTGTCTTCAACTGATTTTTTTTCTTTCTCTATTTCCCCTCTGCATGAAATGTCCATGAAAGATGCTAATTAGGCATCTTTCTTTTCTAAAAGATGTATTAGGTATCTTCTTTAAAGATGCATAAAATACTACAGCCAGTTTCTCTTTTACAAAAGAAAACAAATCTTCTCAAGGTTCATACTGGAAGTATGTAATTCTAAAGAAATAGCATTTTTGGGTAAAAAGTAAAATTGTATAAACAAGATGAGATAGAGCAGGAAAGTGGAAAGGCAATCTCTGAGTCACCCTGAGACTGAGGGGGAAAACATTTCTTTTCCATTTCTTCATGAATTGGGATAATAGAAAAGCTAACTTTAATTACCAGAGGAATAGCAACATTAAATTTTATTTACTGATTACCTTTACATAAAAGTTTAATAAATGAAATGTAACAAAACATACCAAATTCTCAATATTTTTAGAAATACTTCTAGATTTGCCAATGGTAATATAACAAAAGGAGCCTCTATTTAGCTTTGCTTTTGGTCTACGTAAAGATCTTTCAACTATTTGTAAGTATTAAAGTGAAAACCACTTGTTCCCTTATTTATTATCTTCTCTCAATTTGAACATTCTCACTGCTTTGTAATATTTCTCTAATTTAATAAAACATAACTTGTACTCATATTTATTTGTCTAATGTTCAAATATTTCTCATTATTTTGAAAATGTCATTATCATAAAAATTATACTTTTTTTGTTCATTAAAAATATGTTATGCAAGGGCCTCCCTGGTGGTACAAGGGGTTAAGCCTCAGTACTATGAAGCTACCCGCAGCCACTGCAGCACAAGTTCTATCCCAGGCCAGGGAGCTGACTCACATGGCACAGCAGACCTTTCCTGTCTCGTCCACTGTTCCCCTCAGCAGTGCATTTCAGTGGATCTGCCTGTTCTGTTCCCCACTCTGTGTCCTCTGTCTCTGATGAATCCTCTCACCAGTCCCTCACTCCCTGCACCTCTGGTCTACACCCCAGCTCTTGTATGAATAGATAAAATACATCTTTAAAAAAAAAATATATATATATATATAAAACGCAACCTACTACAGGCTAGACCCATGCAAATTACTACAAACTTCTTTAAGAGAGGTGAACTCTAAGATCAATCTTATTCTTGTTCACTGTATTATTTCCACATACTAAAGTAATATGGATAAAGAAGTTACTACAGATGTAACTAGGATTTTAAATGCATCACCTCTTAAAAAGGAATATGAGCATGTGAATATACTAAAACTGCTAGTAATTAATACTTCTGGCACCCTTCAGAGTTTCCCCAGGATCTGTTTCAAAGAGAGTTGGCTTTTTCACTTTTTAAAAAAGCATTAGAATTCAGATTTTGTGAAATCACATTCCATTAAACTTATTTTGAATGCTAAGTACATACTAAAATTCCCATGAGTTATGAAACACCAACATTGAACATAGCGGAAATGGTTTATGAAATACTACTCATCTATTATAATTTGGTGCATTAAACAGCGTTCCTTTCCAGGATAACAGAACCATGTATTTATTGCTAACTCCCCACAACAATGAATTTTTTTACAGTAACAACACAATTTATCTTGTAAACTAAATAGCTACTTGATAATCACATCCTTCTTCCCCTGCCTTTCGAAACACATTTTTCCTCATTCCAGAAACACAGTGTAACTGAATGTGACAGGCCCATGATAGCAATGGGTTACACAATCTCCCTTCTAAATTCTAGAAAGAATCACACAAGATGAAGCCATGCAAGAGTGGATCAGTAGGTTTTTTCTAGGTTTTAGTTCTTTCCCTCTCACACC